AAGATAGTCGTTCGTTGGCACAAGGTTGTTATACGGCGGAGCTGAATTAACTCTCTGTCCGTGGGCCTCCGATTTTTCATGAATTTTTCCCGAAAGGTGTAAAGAAAACAACATGAACAAGATGGCTAGCTTGTCGGATAATCGAGCTTGTGTGTTGAGTTGCAGGACATCTTGGAAACTTCAATATCAAAAGATTTTTACAACAATACATGTAAAGTGTCTCAAAAATTATGGACCGCCCTAATATCATGACGAAAGAATAGCTCGAGAAACTTCCAAACCCTGACTTTTTCCGATTTTTTGTCTTTCTTAAGGAACTATACTCCTCTGATAATGGCCACAATTGCCACCTCTCTTTGGTGTGTGGCGTACTCCAAGGCCAACATACGCGTTCAAACAGCGGTCACATATGTCGCTTTTACGCAAGGAGAAGTTGTGCATGGCAACTGCATTTACTTGACTTGTGTTATGAACGCGTTCATGACGTCATCCCTCGCGTCTCCCCCTACCGTCTCTCGGACATGTAAGCAGGCGTTTGAACGAGGAGCTGAGGGTTTTACCACAGCGGACTGATTTATGGACCCACGGGTACGGCCGCTTGACGCTCTCGATCGGTGGCCTCCTCGCTCGAGACCGAGGACCCGGTCTGTCCGCACTGGGAAAAGATCGGGCAACTTGGATCGACAGACTCGCAACGCAGGCTGTTCCCCCTGAGAATACATGAGGTTTGGTATAGGTCTAACAGTTAAGTCAAAAGGGGCAAGATGTTAAATCACTTTGCGTAGGGATTGAGGTTGATCGATTTATGAAAGTGTAGATACAACGTGTATTTGTTGTAGAAATTGACATAAAGATAAACCATCAAACTCTAACATCCGAGTCATGCCCTTAGAACAGGTTGGGGGGGGAAGGGAAGGGGGAAGTAGAGCGTTCTCAAGCTACTATATCTCCTCGACGTCTTGCTCGACCTTGCTTTGAGGTGGAACTGGTGGGACTCATCGGCTTACAACGCCTCTAGTAATTCACACTGGAAATTATAGCCCAGTCAATTGTTTTAACTACTAGAGAGCAGCCCTATTACTGACGTCCTCACTGGTCGACGCTCTTCTGTTGTACGATATGTACGGTTAGGAACCGTAGGGGATATTCACTTACCCATAATACTAGCGGTAACTTCATCTGCGCTTTCTTCACTTTTGTTTCCTTTTTCCAAAGAGAAGCTATATCACCACTTCATTTGCAGGATGATACTTCAACCGGAGTCGAACCCAGACCGGTAATGATTACATTATAATCTGCTCTCCAGATCTGCAAGTGACATGTGATATCGATATTAGGGCTCTAGAAAAGCTCACTCGAAACATTTATGTCAGTCAAAGAATCGCTTTAAATCAGTAGCGAATTAGCCTGAAATTGAAGGTGCAATGCGTCGGTGGAACAAGAAAAAGAAATCGTCAAGAACCCTGGAAATGACACCCTCTTTTTTTGTTTCGACGAGCTTATGGCTAAGATGGAGTTCGTGTGGACGAGTGGTACCTTAGGGACGATACGGCGCAATACGACAACATCTCGATCTTCCATTCCTAAACAATTTTTTTCATGTCTTTATCGCTGAACGTGTCGCAGGGATGATTTGGGTGTTGGGCTGAACACGTAGTTGTTAATGAGTCTTTTGGTGCAAAAGCACCTATTACCGTCTTATTGGGCACGCCTACCCCTTCAACCGCGCATCGTTTACATCCTACGGACATCTAATTGATCCGTCCTAAAAATGGTCATTGAAAAACAAGAGAGAAGCTAGTATGGATTATTTCTCATCATATCACGGAATTCCCCAGAGTTCCATGTAGGAACACAAAACCATGTTTCATTTTCGCTGAACGGTTTTAGCAGTACCAAAAAAGCATAAGGTACTGTTAATGGTTCGATCCCCCGTGGCGACTAAATTTTGCATTTGGGTTGGCGCCTACGGTTTGGTGCCAAATCGCGCTAAATGTCAAAATCAGATGTCATATTCATCGTCAGGACCATTTTGAAGCCAACAAGTGGCCGCCAACCTTGATTGCAAAATTTAGTCGCCGCGGGGGATCGAACCAGGGTATCATTCACCACTTTTTGGATACTACTAAAACCGTTCAGCGAAAACGAAACATGGTTTTGTGGTCCATACATGCGTCCCTACAATATGCAAGAAACCGTTTCCAAAAAGCGCGGCTTGCCCTGAAAGACCCCCCTTGTAAGTCTGATTAGGCGTGTCTATGGATTTGATACCCGCTGCACTCGGAAGTTGCGCGGATAAGCTGCTACTTTATTTCCCTTCACAGACCATTTAAACGTTTCTTGAATCGAGGTACGTAGGATTCGAGAAATATTTTTCAAAATGAAACGGCTCAGGAATTACAGATAATCCGCACTAGTGGTTACCACTTCGCAAACACTTGCACAGCTGTCCATTTCTCGTTCTCACTGCGAGGAACTCCAGGACTTGAAGAATTTGCTAACTACCTGCTAGAACTAATCCTAGTCTTAAACTTGGTCGAATGAGACAAAGAGAAAACCTTGTTCGAAATGTTATGTGTGATAGCACCTCCATATACGG